TTCAGGGATATAGGTGATTTTAATGAGGCTCTGATCCTTAAGAAAATTTGGAGGGTTCTTACTAAACCCAACTGTCTTATGAGCCAAGTCCTCAGGGGTAAATATTTCTTTTAAAAGAATTTTCTGGACATCTCAAAGAAAAACTCTGACTCCTGGATGTGGAAATGCTGGTTCGATGCTAGGGATTCTCTTACGTCAGGGTTGAGATTCCATGTGGGAAATGGGGGCTCAATTGATGTTTGGAGGTCCCCTTGGATCCCAAACATCCCACATTTTGTCCCAGACTGTGTTTTTGCAGGTGCTATGCAGCAGATTACCAAAGTTTCTGATCTCTTTGCTGTTGATGGGCTATCTTGGAACACTGACTTGGTTAGGCAATTGTTCAGCCCCTCTGTTGCATCCCAAATTCTCAATCTCCACATCAGCCAAAGGGGGCATCCAAACAAGTTGATCTGGAAAACTCACAAAAAAAGCATCTTCTCAGTCAAAGAAGCATACAAAGCAATCAGAGACAAAAATAAATCTGTTGCAGGGGGAGTGGGGACAAGTAGGGGCAGAGAGTCAACTTTGAAAATCATATGGAGGAAAACATGGCACTTGCCTATCAAACCAAAAATCAGAAACTTCCTATGGAAGTGTTGGCATAATTGGTTAGGCACAAACTCTAATCTGCACAGAAGGGGAGCTATTGTTGATTTGATGTGCTGTTGGTGTGGGGAAACTGAGGAAAATTTGGAGCACATGCTTTTCCTATGTCCAAGAGCTAAATTGGTGTGGAAGCTAGCTGGTATCTGGTGGCATAAGATGCAGTCTGACAATATGTGCTTTAGAGATTGGTGGGAAGACCTGTGTAATCTTTCTGGCTCGGCTGCTAACAAGGAAAGGATATCTCTCTCCACATACCTCTTATGGTGGTTGTCGAGAACAAGGAACTCTTGGATATTCAACAAGGAACATATGTCTGAACTGATGGTAGTTGAAGGAGCCAGAAGGGAGTGGTTGGAATTTGAAGCAACTAATGACCTTCTTAGGGAGGGGAGCAGGAAGCAGGGAGTAGGGGTTCATTCTATTGATCTTAGTGCTAGTGCTACCTGTCAAACTACCTGGAAGATCAGAGGCATTGCTACTCCAAGAGGGGATGCTGGGAGGATACACTGGTTTGTCTATAAGAATCCTACAGCATCTTGCCAGACTGAGGACTCCTTAGTTCAAATCAGACAGTGGCTTTCACAGGGCGTGGATAAACATTGGCTCAAAGAAGAGATCTTTATAAAGGATGAGTCTCTGAGATGCAAGCTTGCTCAGCAGATGCCATTTCCCTGGCATCTCGACATTCTGGCTATGGACATCCATTCTTTGTCTTTGGAGTTTCAATCCATCTCCTTCCCTAACCTGTCTGATGTTGTTATTTAGTCTGGATATCTGCTTTGAGTGCCTTGGTTCTGTGGGTTGTTGTTGGGTTCTGTTAGGAACGTCAAACAACATGCACAGTATTGAACTTTATCGAAATAAATCCTAACGCAGCGGAATCTATAGTTAGGATATGGACGTTTACCTTTTAAAATTTTTGCCGACTCTGAGACGATGTAGAGTACCATTGGTGAAGTTCATCTGAACACCACAACCTAATGGGCGGATAGGTTTGGTCTTTAGTTGATTATAATCAACTCGTCAAACGAAC